GATTCTCCATTGTGTCATCTATGGCATTATCTTCTGCTTCTACCTCTTCCTTTTTTCCTCATAATTGTGGCGATGGGGTTGTGAAGTTTGCTTCTTCTTTCCTATCAAACATCTATCGTCCTTTTATCTCTCCTCCTTTTTTGTGTTTGTAACTCTCTTGTAACACTTCTAATTTTCAGCACTTCTATGACCTTATTGTGTTGCAAGTGCTGTAAAACACTTACAAAAACTAAAACTAAAAAACATAATTTATTATCCCATCTACTTGTAATGGGCACATGATCGCACTGACTGGGGTGTCAAACTTTGACTTTTCTATCATTTGGATCAGGTTAGCCATGGGGCTCCCGGCTCACCTTTTATTCTGCAACTCCATCCATGAGATGGTACGAGACCACCACGGGCAGCACTTTTTGTCCAACTTGAGATGCTTCAGTGTAAGTTTTGCAGAATTTTATTTGTAGATTCCTCCCCTTTGATTGGTATCTGGTTGAAACGTCTTGTGGACCCATGTCTGTCTTGTAAATTCATGTCAGATAGATTCATATCTATCAGATTTATCGATCATGTCTCGAAGAATCATATCTTGTAGATTCATAACCGATACATTCATATGCAATATTGTTGTCAATTATATCTCGTAGAATCATATGTTGCTGATTTTGTACCAGGTAGAATCTTACCTTGTTGAACTGTGTCTGATAGAAGCATATCTCATAGAATCGTATCTTGCTAAGCTGTATTTCGTAGAGCGGCATTTCATCTTATCTTGTAGAACTTTGTCTCATAGACTCGTATTTTGTTAAACTGTAACTTATAGAACGGCATATAATCTTTTCTCTCAGAAGCATGTCTCGTAGAATCATATCTTGTTGAATCATACTTATAATATCATTATAATGTTCTGACATGGAGCCGTATATCATAGAATCGTATAGTATCTTGTGAAATCGTATCTCATAGAATTATATAATCATATGTCGTAAAAACATATCTCGTAGAATCGTGTGTCACAGAAATTGTGTCTCATAGATCCATGTCTGGTATTCACATGTCCAAATGTCATAGAACTGTATCTCAAGGAATGATATCGAGAATAACAACCGTAATTAATTGTAGAATTGTAGTATGAATAGTTTTATTGCTATACTACCTTAGCAGTGCATTTTCTCCTTCTGTACCCGAGTTGCTATTGTTTTTTTGTTTTTTTTAGTAGAGGGTTTTACGGCGCTCGCAACTGCATAAGGTCATATGAGCGCCAAGGGGTGGGTGTCAACAGAGAAGTCCTTACAGGGAATCAGACTTACTCAGCTCACCTCTCTAGCTTTAACAACACAAAGTCTGCTTCGACTATCAAGGCACCCCGGAAATAGCAGGTCACAAGAGAGTGACAAACATACAAAAGAAG